CCTCCCCCCTTCCCCCATCCACCTCAGGTGGCATCAATTTTTTTTTAATAAGGGCCCATTTACACTTTTTTCCAATGCAGCAAAACAGTGTGTTACCATGCCTTGTAGGCGTTGTGTTTCTGTAGTGCATTTGGGTGCCATTCACCCACACTCGCCGAATCACAAACATGTGAATGGGCCTTTATACATGTAACTTTTAAATAGCCATGACAAATAATTCCTAGATCGCTGGGGTTTCATGGTGGCATTTATATGGCCACTGATAAAGAAATGCACAAATGAGACACTGACATATTTATCTAGTTTTACAGCTAAATGCTCCATATTTACTTGGAAAGGATATGTATAGTTTTGTACATATTTTATGTATTTATTGGTTTATTATGTTCAGGGCTTTAACATAGATTTTTACAAATACTGATTTTAACCAGATAAATACAAAAATGCATGTAAACGTTTGATATATATCAAAATGCCAGTAGTTAGTGGTCTAGGCCTATATTTAAATGTTCACCAGGCTTACCTTAAAATTAATTTGAAACCAAGAACATACATGCTCACCAGCATTGACTGCATGTCACTGTTCTAGGAGGGCTTCCTGATGCTGACAACAGTAGAATATGCCTGTGCAGGGCACTAGCATGACAGCTTACAGTCTCCATGGGAAGCACATGTGGCAGGGTGTCAACGCAGTAAAGCAATTGGGATACAGAGACAGAGGGGTCTATTCACTAAGCTGCCTTAGGAAGCCGAGTGAATGACCGACCTAAAGCGAAGTAAGCCGAACGCCGTTCGGCTAATCACTTCAGGCTGGTACGGCTGATTTCAGCCTGTATATCGGCTGAAATCAGCCGTACACCGGGTGGTTTCGGGTTGGCCGAACATGCACAACACCCGAAGTGCAGAAGGAGTTCGACTCAGCCGATCCAACATCTTGATCGGTCAAGCCGAACCTCCGGCAGGCTACTCGCTGCTGTTTGGTCTATTCTTATAGATGCCAAATAGCAGTGAGTGAATAGTGAATAGCCAAATGCCGCTGAGCGGCATTCGGCTGGGCTGTTCTGCTCGGTCCCTCTGTGGGACCGAGCAGAACAGAAAATAGTTTAAAAAGTAGAAAAAAATAAATAGAAAACGATTGTGCAGAGCTAGCAGTGACAGCTAGCTCCGCCCAACTGTTTTCTATTGTCCGGTGGTTCTGCTGCCGTCCAAAAAAATAAAATAAAAAACTCTCCCGGGCACTCCGGGAGTCTCCCGCTCCCGGCCGCCAAGGAGAGAAACACTGCTTTTTCGTTTTGTTTCTTTATTCTGACACGGAGCCGTGTCAGAATAGAAAAAAAAAATTTGGCCATAGGAATGCATTGCTAGATTTCTATTGGCTATTTCAATTTGCAATAGCCAATAGCAAACTAGCTATTGTCCACGCCTCTGCTGTAGTTCTCCATCAGAACTAGGAATCTAGCAATGCATTCCTATAGCCAAAAATATATCTACTGAACCGAAGGGGTCCTGGGGCCGAAGCTAGCCGAAGGATCGGCCGAAGCTACGGCTAGATCCTTCGGCTGCTTCGTGAATAGACCCCAGAGTGTTGCCACCCTATAACAGGAAGTGTCTGATCAAGAACTTTCATTGCAGAATCACCAGGTAGAATATTAAAGAACGCTGAGGATATAAAAAGATTGAAATTGTCATTAATTACAACTGATATCATTTAGTGATTGGGTTTATATCTACTTTAAGTGTTTTATTTAAAAAAGGTTCGTGTTGCACAGAGTTCATTAGCTGAAGCTCAAATTATCCAACCAGCTGAGTATGTCAGAGGAGGATCACCATTTCCTTAAATGGAGTTTCTTTCACCAGAAGGCTCTCCAAAACTATGGTCCTGGAGTCATGGGTCCATTCTGTGCTAAATCTCAACTGCGGGGAAATTTATAATAAAA